TCTCTCTCTCTCTCTCTCTCTCTCTCTCTCTCTCTCTCTCTCTCTCTCTCTCTCTCTCTCTCTCTCTCACACACACACACACACACACACATGACATTCTTCTCAGGGGTTTGGACCGACAGTCTGCTAGCATTGGACGGTTGGTTGGTGTCAGTAAAGTCGACCAATTTTCTTAGGGCTATGGCTAGCTCTGGGCAACGTCGTGAGTCCTTATCCATCTGCCATATGCATCCTGGGCAGACTGTCTGTCCAGGTTCAACCTCCTGATAAACCAGTGAAAGTCCGACCAAACCTCCTGTCGGGGTTCAACCCATCACCCAACTCATCTTCAAACCCATCAACCAACGACCTGCACAACTCTCTTTTTTTTTTCTTTTTTTTTTTTTGTGCAAACTCATGACCCAACGATCTACAAACCCATCAAGCAATTGTTGAAAAACACACATCAAGTACAACTTAAACCCACCGAGCTCTGCAAACATCACACTACCCGTCTTCACCGCAATACAATTAACGGTCATTTTATATCCGAATTCGGCGTATCTTTCAATCTAGATACATTAATTATGACCGTACAATGTATTCCGGTGAAGAAGCGTAACCAGGTCTGAAAAGACCTATCAAGTCCCTGTGCAGACTGAAAGACCTATTATTACTAGGTTATATAATAATTACTCTAAAATTTAATCTGATATTAAATGCAAACCATTGCTTCCAAATTCATGGAGTTTCGACGAGATTCAGCTAATCATCAATGTTTGACAGACGCCAGCTATCGGAATGAAGGCTAGTCCCCAACAATTGGACGGCCATAAATGTTTTTTTTTTTTTTTGCGGAAGAGGGGGGGGGGGGGGGGGGGGGCAGGCGGGGGTAAGAAACATAGGCTCTCTCTCAACTCGCCCCCCTCCTCCGACCCCCCTGTGTGTCTAGGACCATACGACTCAAATAGGGTTACGACTCAAAGGCTCTCTCTCTCTCTCTCTCTCTCTCTCTCTCTCTCTCTCTCTCTCTCACACACACACACACACACACACACACACACACACACACACAAACACACACATGCACACACACACACACACACAAACAAATAAAATATATCGAGATATAGATATAAACATACACAATTGTTTTTGGTTCTCTTTTCATACCAGGGGATTGCCGCAAACATTCATCATATTGTATTTGTCAGGGTGCAGTCCGGATCTGTTCATTAACCGCTGCACGTGTCAGCACCACTCAGACAAATGGAGGCTACATGCAGATACAAAGTCACAGAGAAAATGTACATATATACATTTATTGTACCCACACACACAGATACACTTATACATAAACATACATACTTGGCAACCTGAGAAAAAGTGACAGAGACGCAGTGAGAGAAAGACAGACAGAGACAGAGACAGCGACGCACAGAGAGAGAGAGAGAGAGAGAGAGAGAGAGAGAGAGAGAGAGAGAGAGAGAGAGAGAGAGAGAGAGAGAGAGATTACCACAGAGAGAGACACAGGGAGATGGAGAGGGATTACCCGATATCTTCCTGCAGTCGAGCAGCAGGGAGCGAATTTGGAAAACCCCACCGAAGTTGACTTAGCGCGCGCACGAGCGAGCGAGCGAGCGAG